CAGAGTTTCTGAGTCAACATTTTTGTTGCTAAGCAAGAGCGTTGTTAAGTAAGTTTCATCACATTTTACAAGTTGGCCACGCCCAGCCAGTCACATGACTGGCAAGCCACTCCCACTCGATCACATGGCCAGCAAGCCATTCCCACCTGGTCACATGACCAGCAAGCCACTCCCACCCAGTCACATGGCCGGCAAGCCACTCCCACAAAGCAGGCCACACCTACAGTAGAGGTTCTAAAAAATTTTGAAACCCACCACTGACACGCACACACCCCCAACACACAAATTAAAGTACTGTATACATGTTCAAAATAATGTATTTTATAATTGAACACAGGGTTCATTCTACAAGATCCTAGCAGGTCATAATATCATGTACTGATTTTCAGAAACAAACTTTCTTTCCTTGTGTCTTCCTTAGCCTGCATTTTTTTGGGAGGGGGGAAATATTCTTTTTCTACATTCAAAGCAAATCAACTGTACAATGCAAATAATATGATAGTGCATATGAATTATAATATTGAAATAGTTTCTTTTTTATTTTCTCATTAACACCTTTACACAAGGGCACAACAAGGCTAATGTGTTGTTAAGGCCCTTAGACCTACCAATTTGTGACAGTTTAATCAATGTTTGTTAGCACCTTTCTCCTCTTCTCCTTCTCTCTTCCTCTTCCCCCTCTCCCTCCTCTTCTTCCACCTCCTCCCTCTCTCCCCCATCTCTTTGCCTTCTCCTCCTCCTCTTCCTTCTCTGTCTCTTCTTGCCTCTCCCCTCCTCCCTCCCCCCCCCCCAGTCTTTGAGGTCTTCAGTGGCTCCCTCATTCTCACCGGGGCATGGCACGAAGGCAACACAAGCAGAAAATGGATATGACTCCCTTTATTGGCACCAACTTTGTCCCCAACGACCCTTTTACTCTAGCCTGGAGAAAAACTCTCCCACAAACCTGCAGATACTCCAGTTCAAACGCTGTAAGCAGACTGACTGCAATCAATCACTCCAGCAGGGCAAGATGAGTCCCAGAAAGGAAGAATAATTCCAGCAAGACAAGCACACAGAAGGGCGGAAATAATTCAAACAGTCCAGAGGAATGCCAGGAATGCAGGCCACAACTCTCCACACTATAGGAATTCAGCATTTGTTCCCGACAACTGCCCCTTCCAGTTGCCTCTCCTTTAAACTCCATCCCCAGGTGTGCCTTGTGAAAGGAATCGGGGCCCTTCCTTGTAAGCCACAAAACCCCGTTGCTCTCTTCCGCATTCTTCCCTTTGCTCCCTAGGATGAGGAGGGGGGTGGGCCCTGGTCTTCATCTGAACCCCCTCTCCCTTGTTCTACCTCTCTCCTGCTCTGCCCAGCCTGACTTTGTCCTTCCCCAGTTTCCTCCACAGTCAACGGAGCCACTCTCCTGTTCTCTTTCAGCTGTTCGTCTTCCATCTCAGACTCCGACAGGGGCTTGACACCCACCTTAACTGAGTCTAACTTAATAGTGATCACCTTTTTCTCTCTCCCCCCCCCCCTTTCCCAGCATCAGAGTTTTTTCCAGAGAGCTGGGTTCAATGAAAACTTGAAGCAAAACTAAGCAAAATCAGTTTACTGCAAACATCAGGCAGCAATACTAGACCAGCTGAGGAATTTCCCAAACATCACAAGTATTTATGGCTATGGTGGATTGGGTGTTCTGAGGTGTCATTAATTCATCAATCCTTCCTGGGCTCGCTTTGTTGAATTTCCCATGATGGAAAAAGTGAGGGAGATTGGCAGAGTTGCAGAAGAGAGATAATCAGTCTTCTTCTTTTACTCAAGAGAGCAAAACCTGACCAAACTTAGGGTGGTTTTAGAATTACATAATTGAAGTATTACTTTTCATCTGTCGATCCTGTAGGAAGTTAGCACCCACCCCTCTCTTGGAAAAAGGAAATATTTTAGGGAATATTAAAAAGACAGAATATTATATTTCCCTGGATGAGAAAAGGAGAAGCATGTTTTAAAGACAAAGCAGCTCCCTGCAGCTCCCCCCTTCAGCTCCAGGGTGAGGAGATTAAGACATGGCCCTCAAGATATAATAGGATTAGAATTCTACCCATCTCACCACATTTCACCTGGGAAGATTACATCACCCAGCAAGGCTCAACCAAGCCTGGGACTCAGGACAGCCGAGTTTTTATGGGTGTGAATTAATCACAACTGCACTGGAAACAGATTTTACAACATTCAATGGAATA